TCTTTCATAATATATAATCTTACCTTCTTTTTAAATTGAGCAAGAGAAATCATATTGAGTATTTTAAAAAATTGTCGCTTATTTGTTACAACACTAACATAACTCAAAAGTCATCATTTTTTAATTGCCTGTAGAAAGAGAACGGAAATATAAAGGAAAAAAAGAAACTACTTCCATAAAGAACAAGAAGAAAGAACATACTTCCATAGAACATAGTTTTATTTCTGATCTGGAATCAGTTATTACAAAATTATATTTCAAAATTAATACTACAAAATTTCAATATCTTGAACAGTTCTAGGCTTGTAATTACGTGCTTTTCTTGTCCTATAATATATATTCTGTTTGTATATGTATATTACAAAATCTAAATATGTCTTATCCCTAATTACATATATAATCGTGAAAATTGTATTGATATCATTGATAACAAAATAATAATATCAATAAACATTTTTTACAGAATAAGCTCAAAGTAAAAATAAAATGGTAAATCTGCTTATTTTCTGTGTAATTTAGAAACAAACTGAGTTTAATTTTAACAGTGACTATAATCGTAAATAAATAATTGTTATCAATAAATGGCGCCAAGTTATGATTCCATAAAAATTACGTACACAAAAAAATATTAATACGGAGAATAAAGAAGGTATATCATATGCGTCAGCATGCGATTTGGATATAGTTCGTGCGTGATCTATTAGACAAAGAAATAGAGTACAATATAATATCAGCAGCGGGAGTGAGTGTTAACTTCAGACCTATTGTATACTTTGATTTGGAGACTACTGGACTTTCAATAAAATCACCTGATATTTGTCAAATCGCTGTAAAACATAAAAATAAAGAATTTAATGCTTATGTAATTCCTTTACAAGATATTGTTCACAAATTATTGATAAAATAAAACTAATCAGCAAAAAAATGGATTCTAATAATGATTTGGGAGAAAATATATACAAGTAGTACAAATTGTAATACTATTTGTACTAATATTACCACTGTTAAATATAATTTAAAAAATAATTCAAAAATAAAGAAAGATAAAGTTGAAATTACTTTTAATCGAAAATTCAAAGTTGTAATTTAAATAGTAATGTACATATACATAAATTATATGTGTATGTTGTAGCAGTATACATAAATTAAAAATGTATGTTGTAGCAGTGTAAAAATAACTATTACGAATCTATTGAAATTAAAAATGTTGAGATGTGCAATGTACAGCGGCATTTCTATGAATGCGATAATAACATGTGGGTTTCCAATCTTATATTATTTTTTAGTTCCTTGTTCTTGTCGACGCTGGCGCTTCTGTTACTGTTTCTCCGCGTATCGTTACGTATCATTTTTTCTGTCGCTCGCATAATAAAACTACACGTTATATAAAGTCGTCTAAAAACTCTTATCTCTCCTCACCCATAATTATTAACAGGTTATGGGCCCAGAGAGCTTTTTTTTCGTATAGAGAGAAAAGAGGAAAGTAGTCGCGGAAATAAT